TTCTGTACTTGGTGTTGTTCTAAGCACCTTATACATATCAATTCACCGAAGCCTTATGAGCTAGATTTATCTCCATTTCACATGTGAGTAAACTGAGGCACAGAGAAGTTAAAAAACTTTCCCAAGATAACACAACACACTGACGCAGTTTGATCCGAGAGCCCACGCCCTCAACTATTACTCACAGGTCAGCTACTGGAATGAGCCTCAGCCTCTCAAACGTGAAGTGGGACAGGCACCACAACACTAACTGCAGGACGGTGCCTGGGTAAGTGCGATGATGCAGGGAGGTAAACAGTCTAAGCCCAGCATGGGCCCCGGGTGGAGGTTTAATGAACAACTACTTTGTTTCTTAATTAAAACATTGTTTTCTGGCCCTGGTGGGTGTGGCTCAGTTGGCTGAGTGTCATCCCATACACCAGAAGGGTGACGGTTCCATTCCTGGTCAGGGTACATGCCCAGGTTTTGGGTTTGATCCCAGTAAAGGTGTGTGCCCGAGGCAACTGATCTCTCTCTCTCCTCCCTCCCTCCTCTTTATCTCTCTCTCAAATCAATAAAAACATATTAAAATTTTTTCCCCCTAGTAACTATGAATCAAACACATATTTGAGGGGTAATTTACTTTTATTTATCCATTGTTAAATATTTATTTCAAAAGTATGTGAATTTCAATGAAACCATTCTTTGTATAATTAGAGACCATAATACTGAAACCAGGATGGGTTTCTTTCCCTTCCTTGCTGAAAACCATCTCAATTCCCAGAAAGGGAAGTTTGCTGAGATAACAAACTGACTCAGATAACAAAGCTCAGTTCAGGGAAGTTTGTAAAAAAGGGAAGGAATGTGGAAGAACCTTCTAATTGGCACTAGAGAGGAGAAATACTCAGGCCCATATCCAATAGCAAAGTGAAGAAAATTACTTCTGGTCACAAGTGATCCAATATCGTGTGCAGATACTTTATACATGATCCTGAATTTCCCCAACTTTGAAAGCCGGGTGCACAGTTCAGTAAGTCCTCATCTAACGTCATCAATAGATTCTGCCACTTTACCCAGTTAACTGCCATGATATTTTGAATTTAATTATAGATGAGTAGGGCATACAAATGGTTAAGCAAAATGACACAGAACCAATTTTATCCTAGGGTAATTGATATAAACAAGAGTTAAGTTCCTACAGCATCTCATCAACATTATCAATAAAGTTCTAGTCTGTGAGTAGGACCAAAATCAAGTACAGATGGAAATTACCCTTAAAAATTCCTAGGGAAAGTGCCAGGTACAATGACTGGGTGATCCCCGGACAGCCGATCTGCCCTGTGATGGAGCAGGTCACTGCAGGGGATCAACCAGACACACTGGGCCTGCATTTAGGGTCCGTGTTGTAGGGAAGAAAACAGGTATCTTTAAATATCAGAATCCCATTTAAGAAGAGGCACGTGGGAACTAAACCCGAGTGAGGGAAAGAGGAGGTCTCCCTGCTCCTGTGATCACAAGGCAGCTACTCACTGCATGGGAATCCCCACTATAAAGCATATGTGTGTGTGTGTGTCTGTGTGTGTGTGTGTGTGTGTGTGTGTGTGTTTCTGATGCAACTTTGTGAGTGAGTGCATCAGGAATGGTCAGAGACAAGGAGAACAGAGCTGCCACTTCTCTCATTTCCTGCACCCACCCATTTGCCACCGTTTCTCCCATCTACTCAATATCCGCCTTTATTTCTTTGTTAACTAACTTTTAGAATTAAGTTTACTGTCAGAGGTTTTTAACCCAGAGTTTGGAACCTCTGGAATTACATCACTTTTGGCATGCACGTTGGTATAAGTGGGGTTCTAAGCAGAGTATCCGGGTTTCATTACTTTTTCGAAGGGCTTCTGAGATGCCAAAAGGCTAAGGACCATGTCTTAAGTGTTAACCCCATAAACTGCAAACAGGGCTTTGAGTCTTTGTTAAGGAAAGCTGCTTTACTACTTAACCAAGCCTATAATCTAAAACAAAGAAATGAAGCTGTAATCTGCGAAGTCATCTATTACCTCCTCTACAAAGGCAAGGGGAGTGTAAAGACCAATACGGCATACTCCCCAGGGGACCACAGCACACCTTGGAGACAAAGCTACCAGGCTCTGAAAAATTAACTCTCAATTCCTCTTTCTAAACAACACGGATCTTGTGCTCATTTTGAAAGGTTCCATTGTGGAGGAGCGTAGCAGGCACCCGAAGAAACTGGGATGAAAAGAATCACAGAACGGCACCGTGGAACATGACAGTGATCTCATCTCCCAGATAAGATGAGAACACACCCATTCTGCAATTCTGGGGGTAGGTGGCCTCAAGATAGCCAATTCTGGAGCAGCCGGGGACAGCCGAGAAGGAGACCCAGGAGTGTCTAGATGCCTGGATGCCACCAGAGGGGGGGTACCATCCTTCACATCCATCAAGTTCCCAGAGGACAGGAAGGTGACTTTTTCAGAGCAAGGTGTTCTTTAACCCTTCGAACCTTAGAACAGATGGTGTTCACTTTTCCTTTTCTGAACACTGAGAGGAAAGGTTACTTTTCTCTCCAAATAATAACATGAACATCATCTTTAAAGGCAAAGAAGACATTAAGCTATAGGAAGTCAGGCATAAGGCATTTTTGAGTATCACAACGAGACGGCTAATATGTTTGGATAATGACTACTTAAGGAGGAGGCCTCGTCAGTGAAAAATACGACAGCCAACAGGAAGGTGGTAAAACGCCGACCATGAATCCAAACAGGCACCCGCTCCCCCAGAACCTCCATTCCCTAGGGAAGCTGTGAATCACCTGAACGTTAGGTCAGTGGGTTGAAACAAAATGTACAACACCCCGATCCCAAGAGAGACAATCTCTCACTCTTTAAGCCAAGGTTTCCAGCACTTTGGTAAAAGGCTGGCAAAAATACGGATAAGCTGCAAGCCTGACAAAAGATGGCAGGCAGTACGTACCTGGTCTGAGCGAGACACTGCAGAGGTGGCCACTGGAGTAGTGGAGACTCCCAGGGCAGCAGGCTCTTCTTTTATACTCTTTCCCCCTCTTACTTTCAGTTTCCTTTTTTAAAAAGCCCCTTTATTCTCTTTTCTTTCTGTTTACCCCACCATGCAACTCTTTGCAGGAGGCGTTTCTTAGAAATCACCCCGTTTCTCTTAAACACTCGAGCCTCTTGACCAATTCCTGACGAGACAGTCCAATCAGGGGCTGTGTGTGTGTGTGTGTGTGTGTGTGTGGGGGGGAGGGTGGAGACCAATGAAACCCACTCGAGAGCCGAACTATTAGCTGGTCATTGCATCAGCCACCCCATAGCGCACGCTGGCCTCCACATAACCTCCTCGCCACAGCTTCCCGTTTCACACCCTCAGTCTCAGGGTCAGAACCGAGTTTACATGGGGTCGTGGGGGGCGGAAAGGAGGGCTGTATGTGCCCTGCGGCTACTGTGAACCGAGGCGGCGCCGTGCGGTGGAGAGATCAGCCCCGGGGTCACGCGGGCCAGGGTTTCAAAACCAGCTTTGGCATGTTTCGATTTCAAGACCTGGGGCAAGTCAGGTTACCTCTCTGCTTCATCCTCGGTTTCCTCTGCTGTGAAATGGGCATACAGGAGCCTCCTTCCTTTACCGTGGAGGGGACTGAGGGTGATATTAAAAGCAAAGCCCCTGGCTCGTGGCAGACACTAGAGGAGGAGGAGGAGAGGATGAAGGGTCGGTGCCAGCGGCGGCGGCGCATGGGGCGAGGGGCGTGCTGGCAGCGAGCCGGG